AAAATATATTATTAATTTAAAAACTACCATTTAAATTTAACTATTATAGAATCAATAATAATTTAAACACAATAATTGAATTTTAATTATATAAAATATATATTATAATTTTATACCAACCATTAAAATGTAATTATTAAAGATTAAAGAATAAATTTACAATCATTTAAAGGACTTTTCATATATAAGGAAATTTAGCTGATTATTGGAACTACATTAGGCCTTGTTAAGTGTATTCGGAAAGGATATTATATTATGTATGTATGAGGTGTTAATGCTAAGCCTTATAAGTATTTTATTATAAAGATTCAGCAGTTATACATTTAAATAGGTAATGATAAGATAAAAAGTTACACATATTATTTTATAATAAGTAAACTACTTGATTTAATTTAAATATAAATTTCCTTATTCAAATTAATGAAATAGATTAAATTGGCATATTTTGCACTAATTTATCAATTAACATTTTAGTCATATCTAATAATAAAAATACAAAGTACAAGAATTTTATCTAGTGATCTTATTAAATTGATATCTATTTTGTATAATGAGTATGTTAATTTCGATGAAAAATTATTTAACTAAATTCTAAGTACTTTAAATAAAAAGCATTATAAATGAATTCAAGTTGATGATAATTTAAATAAGCTGGTTTTAATTAAGGAAAGATATTTGCATTTTACAGATTTTAAATCTTGGTAATAAATTAGGATATAGCTTTCCTATATTGGGATATAATCTTCATATTTTTTCCTATCTCTAAATCAAAATTGTTCAAATTTTAGACTAATTTGCTTAAATTGGCTTAAAATTAACATTACAAGTCTCATACATAAAATGCTCAAAAAGAAGAATTATATTAGAAATAGGATACTACTTAATCTTTAAAAACATCATGCAAACTAAGCGGAAGGTAATTTAATTATTAATATTAAACCTTCTCTGTCATTAAGTGATTTATTTTTCTCAGCAATTATAAGAATAACTTATTATTCTAATTGAAATTTTATATTCATTTTAACAAATTTATACAATAAATAGAAATAAAATATTTTTTATTTTTATTAGTGAATTCAATTAATGATGCTATTTTTAATTAAGATAAAATCTTTTTTAAGAGTAACATAACCGTTAAATTATCTTTATTACAAATGCTATTAAATATTGTAAGTTGAAAATGAAAGAGTGTCAAGAAGATAAGAAATCAAATTTTGACAAAGAATTAGAAAAAAATGTTAAATTTGCTTTTAAAATCCATTATGAGTTAATATTTGATAAAGATGTGAAAAGCTAAAACTAATTGATTGATTTCAAATTATGTTATGCAGATTTTCAACAAATGATGTGTTATGTAAAATAGAAGATTCATAAACCAATATTTTAAATATACTAATTTAAATTAAAAGTAAATAAAAAATACTTTTATAAAATCTTAAATTGAAATTTTAAGTGACTTTCTTGTAATGACCAAGAAATATTATATCATCTAGTTTTTTTTTCTCTAGTAAAAACTATTGCCTATTTTAATATAATTTCAAATGATATAATTAATTTTATAATTTAATATTGATTGTTTCGATTTCTTGAAACAAAATTCTAATTTAATATGTTAAACATTAATTTTTTGTATATTAATCAATTGGGTCAATCTATAATGATTTCATTTAATATATTAGAGCTTCTTTATATTGTTATTAATCTCTTAAACAATCACCTAACAAATACAATTATATGATACCTTTGCATAAAAAAGAAAATGTATGTTTCAGATTGATTGAAAGCGCTTAATCCAGTAATTATAAAGATTCATTATATTTTTTCAATCATCTTAAGCATTCCCTTTTAATATAATTATTATTTAATTTACCTTTATTACTTAAGGAATCAACATGCTTAGAATCAATAGCTATTGCTTTATCCAATCAAGTGATTGGATCCTCATATTTATTTAACAATCTTAAGCATTATCCTATTAATAAAATTATTATTCAATCTACCTTTATCAAATAAGGAATAAACATGCTGAGGATCAATAGCGAATGCTTTTTACAACCAAGGGATTGCATCCTTATATTTATTTAATCATTTTAAATATGCACTTATTAATTATCAATAATTGAACCTTTACACCATAAAGATTGATGTATCGCCTCTTCATATTTATCTCCCATATATGGAAAAAAACTTGGTTATTTGATTTATCCATTAAATCATAACCTAAGGATTAATAAAATATGATTACCTTCATTATATAACTCTTTAGATAGTTTTATAGAATTATCATCAATCAAAAAAAATTAAATTATGATGTGATTATTATTTAATCCTTCCTTTTATAATGAATATTTCTATCTGATTTCCATTTTTAATAAAGAAAATGATTAATTCAAACTGTCTACATATGTATTAAGATCATTAATCAAATTATCACATTCTATATTTTTACTTTACATAAAATCCATCAAAGTGTTATTTTTTCAATTTCATCAAAATGATCATGATGGATTCTACTTTTCTTAATACATTAAAAGCAATTTAATCTAAATTCTGTACACTACTAGTTGTAGAAAACTATTTCTATCTCATCCTTATGCTCGTGTAACTGGCATTTTAACTTTAAATTTGATTACTAAATCATTTTTATAATATTTTATATAGTATTTATCAGAAATTAATTTCTAAATATAATATATATAAATATAATTTATCAGTTTGGGAGATAAAATATGCCCATGTTGAGAAAATAATTGCTATATCAATATTTATTAGAGTTTAAATACTTACATTTTTTAAAGATTGAATTTCTTGGCATTTTGTAAAAAGTTCAATATATACTTAGGGTTTGATTATATTGATATAAAACTTAAAATTTGAATAATGGACAATAAGATGGATGGAAAAACCTTATAAGATTTTAGAGGCTTTATTAGTTTAAGGAAGATCAAAGTAAGAAATAATTTAAACTAAAATAGTTGAAAGAAAAAATACAAAATATGAAACTCAAATTTAATTTATATTTTTCTTAATAAAACTAACATAGTTGGAGAATATGTGAACAATTTAATTATGTTACTTAAAATATTATAAATATTGATGAAAAAATATATTTTATTTAGTTATAAATAATAAGTTTTCAAAGAGAAAATAAAACGTATAGTAAAGATATGGTAAATGGATAGAATAAAACAATAGATTTCATATCTATCTTAAGGAATTTTTATTGGTGAATAGAAGATAACAAAAAATAACTAAATGAGAGATAATATAGGAAACTAATGCAATGCTACAATTTATTTTCCTAATGTTCTTACTATTTTTTTAAATTATAAAATAATACATACCTTAAGCCTTAAATTTTATAGTTTGATTTATTATCATTTAAGAAAGATTAGAGTTTAATAAAAATGGATATGCATTATTTATTGTTAAACTCAAATGATATTCAAAATTAATAGGCTCAAAAGACTTTAAACTTGATAGATTGCAATTAAATTTCTAATTTTTTTTAATAAAAAGCTACTTAAAACTAATCATAAATGGATTCAGCGATATTTATATTATTTACTAATTACAAAATATTATCTATTTTTGCTAATTTTTGATAATTTTCATTATCTAACACCAACATAAGTATTTTTTGAATTCCTATTTAAGTAACTTTTATTGCTCATATAAAAATAGAACAATAACTTTGCTATTCACTTTACCAATCACTTTTATTAGATGGATACTTAATTGAAATAATGAAATTAGAGTGCTCTGTTAGATCAGAGTTACTAATTATTTTGTTAATACTAATAGATATTTTGCAATTCTAGTTTATGATAAAAATGAATTTGATGAAATTTTTCTATAAGCTAAAGTATTTTATGTATAAGTCCAGTTGATAAATGAGAGTCATTTAAACTTTGAGCTTTAGTAAAGTGATGCTTGAATTGTGAAATAATTCATGTTATGCTTGTTACAATTAACCTTCATTATAGCTAACGCAGTTACTTACTTAAAATAGAATGCTTTTACTTGAATCTCGATTAGTTTTTATTATTCTCATTAAAATATTTGTTCAATTAATTGATTTATGCTGTTTCATTAAGAAATAGCTTAATTAATTTCCTCATTCGAAGATTTATATTTGTAAGCCTAAAAGTCAGGTAGTAGAAGAACAGAGAATATTAATGTTATGCCTAATTAATTGCTTTTTTCAAGAATACTTTCTATAATGAATTGGTTGTTGTAATAAATGGAATATATATTCTCTGTCAATAATCAATTAATTTAAAAACTTGATTTGAAAAGATCATCAAAAATTTAATCAATAAATGAAGTAAGGAATCTTTATAATTTTGAGGAAATATCATCATTTTTAGTTAAGCATTATTTTAATGTAATAGTCTTCTTGTAGATTTAATTTTATGTTTAAATTTTTACATCTGAAAGTGATAAACTTCCAATTCAATTCAATTCATATAATTTTATTTTATATTTTTTTAACTTAAAATTAAATTGTATAATAAAGATAACTAGAAATCTAACTAATGATTAAATGAGGTTTTTTGTCCAGAAAATTAATAAAAAGTAGTTTATTATGATTCAGCTTTTAGTGAATCATAATAAAAGAAAACTTTGCTGGAAATGTATTTCAAATTTGAATAAGAATTTGAAACTCATAGAAGCCTTATAAAAGTAATTTCCTTTATTAAGAATATAGTCCTGTTGGAATTGTAATAAAAGAGAAATAAGAACTTAAAATATATTACACAAAGAAAAAAAATTTCATATATCATAAGATAGAAATAACATATATTGATACTTAAGTTGACTTAATAAAGATAGTTAAAAATGAATCTCAAGAAACATTGCAAATTACTAACAATGAGGATTTTTTTTAATTTTACAAATTGATTTTTAAAAAACTTCTATAGATAAAAATATTAAGGTCTAATTACAACGTTCTATAAAATATTAATTTAGTATAAATATTAGTCAATTAAATTAAATATAAAAGATCAAAAAAACTTATTATAAATAATTTAAAAATCAATATGAAACATTATTTAATTAGATAAACATTGATGATTAAATATTTTAAGAAAATGCTTTCGAGGATTTAGATATGAAATATTTGAATAATAAGTCCGATATTGATCAATCAATTATTTTTTAAATAAACACTATAATTTAAAGAATTAAAATTTTTAAATGTATTTGTTGTGTTGATTCTATTAAATTTCATTATGGATGTTTTTATTATTATTTTTGAATTTATTTTTTATATCTCCTTTTCTATGTATTTTAAAACAATAAGTTTATTTTAAGGAATCTTATTCTAATTTTTGGATTTGAATTAATGTTAATACTATTAAAAGCAGATATTACTGAAGATCTTCAAAATATTTCAGATAAGATATTAAAGTAATTTTAATAAAAGAAACCATTTCCAGAAATTATCCTGCCATTTAAAGTATAAAAATATTTTATTAGAAAACTATTTTTAATCAATTTTTAATTTATAATTACAAATTTCTATATGTAAATAAAAAAAATTAATTTTGAGAAATCTTAATTAATTAATTTGCTATTTTAGAAAGATTTTAAAAACAGATTACTTTAATCATCACTTGTTGATAAATCGAAAAGATTTCAAGTTTAATATATAATAATAAACTTCGGATTTTCACTTAATTGAAAAAATATTTATAATTGAACTATATTCTCCATATACATTTTTTAAAGTTTCTTCATTCCACATTTCTGTACATTTTCCAATTTTTTTCATAATCTTACCATTCCAAATCATCACTGTTGGTAAATTTATTCTAAATTATTGATTTTTTCAGATTTATCAGAGGTGTTGTGATATTAATCACTAATCAATTTATATCATAGAAAAAATACTTTCTTATAAATATGTCATCTCAATATTATTGGATTGTTTATTTCAGTAAATGTGACTTCAAATTTTTTTCTTTTTTTTCTAGGTAGATTCCTGGTTTTTTTTTTAATTTTTCTTCTAAAGATTGTGATTTTTAAAATAAATTGTCCCCTTTAAAAATAATACAATTCAAATTTTTTTATTTAATATAATAATTATTAACTGTAGAGCGCTTTTTCAAAATAGGATTGAGAATTTTTTTAAGAATGATTACTTGTATAATTTATCGCTAATTAAATGAAAAAATTCATAATCCTTATAGTCATGTTATTGTAATTTTATTGATTGAAAGTTTCATATAAAAGTGAGTAGAAAGGAACTATCAATATCAATTAAGAATTTTATTTATAAACAAATTTATATTTGAAACGAGCTAAAACGTTAATGAAATTTATAGTTAAGAATATAAAAATAAAGAAATACTTGAGCAATTTAATTTCAATTAATAAGAAGTTTAGTTTAAATGATACACATAAGATTGAAGCTATATATATATATATCTAAGAAATTAATCCTTAATTTATTAACTATAACATATAGATTTATAATTTGATTAACAAATTAAGGACATATATAATGTATTAAGGTTATTATCATTGTTCCTTTAAAATTCAAGAATTAGTGATTCTAATTTTTATTTTTTTAATTACTTATGTTAAATTAATATTTATATTCAGTGCAGAGATATGAAATAAATAATTTATTATAAAAATGATTCTTTTAGTAGCAATAAATTCTGTGCAAAATTATTTAAAAAATGGAACAAATTCAAATGAGAAATAAATGAAAAATAAAGACTGGAAAACATTAGATAGTATGGAATGTTTCAAGATTTCAAATTTATGTTTATTCTAAAAAACCACTTTGAGTATTTAGATTAATGAAGAAGGAAAAATAATTTATTAAAAAGATGGTTCTATACTGTATATGTACATATTTGAATCTAAATATAAATAAGAGAGTAGTACGATTCCCTGTTTTAAGCCTAAAATCTAGAGTAATTAAAATTTTTAAGATGGCACGGGTAGTATAATAATAAATAATAAAAAATTGGAAAATGGTAACCTTAATGGAAAGGTGTAAATTTAGAAGTAGGGGGATTGTATTGCAATCAAGGTATGAAAACAGGCAATTGGATAGAACTTTTTGAAAATTTTTGGGAGTAATTTAAAACATTTTAATTTAGCAAATCATAAGTGACTTTTATAGGATTATATTTAAATAATAAAAAATAAGGAAAATGGTAAATATATTTTCTTAATTAAAAATTAAAATAAATAAACAAAATGTATAAATTTATTACATTTTAAAAAGCGGTGAAGGCTATTATGATTATGAAGGAATTAGTTAAGGGTATTGGATTAATTTGCACAGAAACTTTTATGAGTATATAAATATAAATAAATTTATTAGTGGAAGATAAATTATTTATAAAGGAAGTTATAATAATGGTACTAAATAAGGATGGTGGGATATTTCATTTCATAGTTATTTTGATAGTCGTTTTAAAAAGATGTAATAATTAAAATACTCTTAGAGGAGGAGGTTATTATAATAGAGATGGGAAAAAAAATGGAAAATGGATTGAGGTTAGTGAAAATTTTTGGAAGTAAAACTAATCTAATTAATTTAAGTGGATGTTAGATTTTAGAAAAAGGAGAATATAGAAATGGTTTAAAAATTGGAATTTGGGAATCTTAATTAAAGGAATATATAGATGATAATTATAAATTAATGTAGTTATCTTCATTATTAATCTATTTTTAGAGGCTTAGGATGTTATAATATTGATAGAAAAAATGGAAAATGGATAGAAATTCATCAAAAATCGATGAGGTATAATTATATAATAGTTTTATTCATTCTAAATATTTTGAGTGCAAAATAATAAATGTAGGAAATTATAAAGAGGGTCTTAAAATTGGAAATTGGATAAGTATAGATCAATAAACTGAAAATATTATGTAAAAGTATCATATTTGATTATAGAGGAGGAGGTGATTATAATTAAAATGGATAGAAATTAGGAATTTGGGTAGAAGCAGAAGATTATAGGTTGTAATTAATATCATATTTTCAGCTCTTTGTCAAAAATTACATAAAAAGGCAGATATGTAAATGGAAATAAAGAAGGATAATGGCAAATTAATTTGAATAATTAGAAAATGTATGTTAAATTTAGATTATTATATTTAAGAGGAGGAGGAAATTATAATGATAGAGGATTAAAGTTTGGATAATGGATTGAAATTTATGATAAATTTTGGGAGTTAAATATTTATATATATATTTATTAGTTATTGCAAAGTATTATTTGTAGGAAATTATAAAGAAGGAATTAAAATAGGAGATTGGGAAGTTCATTTTTATTAATAAGATAATAATTCATTGAAAATGTTTGATATTAATCATGATATTTTAGAGGCAAAGGAACTTATAATGACTTAGGAATGAAAACAGGATAATGGACAGAACTTTCTGAAACATTTTGGGAGTATATAATATCATAAAATCTATAGGAAATTTTAAGTTATTTATGAAGGATAATATTCTAATGGAATTAAAAGTGGTAAATGGAATGCATTCTTTACAGGTCATCTGCATAATAGGAATGGAATAAAGATTTAAAAATGGATGGATTTGTATGAAAACTATTTAGAATAACCCATTTATGTTGGTAAATATTAAGATGGGATCATAATGTAAGAATTTAAATAGATAAAATAAATGCTTTATTATTGAATTCACAATATATAAATCTAAATAATTAATTTACATTTATATTTTATTTGAAGTATTAAAGATATATTTCATTAATTTCAATAACAAAAAAAACTTAATTGTTAACTATTGATAAAAAAAACTTAGGTTAATAATATTGAAATTCTATTAATTTTATATATAATCTTTAAACTATAAAAATAAATGGGAAATTATCTTTTTGCTTTCTACACTATAGGTAGATCATTAACTATTAGAAATTGTCATTCATATTCAGAATGATGGATTAAAATATTGATCAGTACCAAACTTGGAATGCCTATTTTCTCTTTTTCAAAGGATTTTTAAACTACCGTATTGTTTATAAATTATTCAATTTATTGACTGAAATTCAATGATATGATATCACAAAATCTTAATATATATATATTTTTTTCTCTATAATGATTATTATGAATAGGATTTGAATACACCATACTAAATATGAGATTTAAGAGAACCTAGTGTATAATCATATTATAAAAATATTCCCTAAATAAGTTTCTGATTGATTCGATTAGTAATTATTTTCATATGCATTAGAATAAAATGTAAATTGATCGTTAAAAATTATGAAATTTCTAGTAATTAATAAAAAAATTATTTAAAGGAAAAGAGAAGAAAAGGACAAAATTAATAGTCTACATTTGAAATAATGCCTGAAATTACTTATAAATAATAATAATGGTGTAGTAACTCAATATCATTCAATGATACTAGAACACTTTTAGCTTCTGCTGAAATATTGGATATTAAAATATTCTAATTTTTAGATGGATTTATAAAGTTAATTCAATTAGTCAGGCTCTAGAAAAGATAATTTAATTTAATTTTACTTTCATAGTCCTCAATTAACTAGAAATGATAAATATAATAAAAATTAAAGATGTCAAAATAGATTTCAGACTACTAAAATCCTAATTATAAATTTCTATATTTTATTGATTCAATTCAATAAAACACCATTATTTTCAAGATTTAAAGTCTTAAGGTTGGTTTATTTAATAATTAAAAAATCTCTTTTAACTAAAAAATTTAATTGATGATTCAATATAACTATTATTGATCAGAACGAATACAAGTCTATAGAGAAAAAATTCCCTAAGTTTTGATTTTCCATCTTTAAAACCAAGGGTAGTCTGCAGTTTAAACTGCTTAAAAGGATAAAATTTGCACACATATAATTAAATTAACTCAATTTGCATATATCGGTTTTATCCTGTAAATATATTGATTATTAAAAAAAATTCATCTCAAGAGTGGAGGTGAAGATCATCCCTAATTAGCCTTTCATTAAAGTTTTTTTTAAGGTAGCCCTAACCTAGCAATTGGCTGTCGCCCTTCTTGAACTCATTGCTTTAACAACAGATAAAAGAAAGATAATTTTAATATGGATTGGAAAAGTAAGTTTATATTTTTTAATCTTATTCTTGATGAATTTACTTGTATACAGCAATTGTTAATATGATTTTGTTTATTAAAGAAATCCATATTTTTTACAATTTTTTTAGAATAATTTTTTTTATTTTGGGTAATAACTATTGTTTAAAATATATTAGTTAAAAAGTTTAATTAACTTCATGACAATCTTTTTTTTGATAATTAAAATAATTACATTAATCACAGTAAAATAACCAAAAAATAAATTTCAATTACCCTCTATAAATATATATTTAAAAGATCATTTTTATTGGATTGGCAATTCCAAAAATCTAGATATATTATGACTTTTTCTTAAAATTTTATTGCAATAAATAATCTTAAAAATCTCTCTTTTATCCAAGAACAATAAGTTTTATTAAGTGTCTATTTTTTATTAATTTCTTTGACTAGATTATAATAATTAAAAAAAGAATTCTTACTATCATCACAATTTTTTATTGAATATATGAAATTAATTTTAATCTAAAAAATAGTTTTTTATTGATGATAATTGTTCATTCTGTTTCGTTAGAAAGCTATTCGTTTAATTAATAATCAATAAAGATGATATTTCATAAAAAATCTATTATTTATTTATTTGTTACTTTTCGAAATTAAAATTTATTGAAATTATTATCTTTTATCTTTTATCTCAGTAAAATTATTCTTAAATTAAAAAGAAAACAAAATTAGATATATCGATAAAACTTTTTTTTATAATGCTTAAACATAATAAAAGTAATTATAATATTATTTTGGGAGAAATTTAATTAAATTATTTGTTTTATTATAAATTATTCTTGCATGTTTCTAAAAATTTAAAGTTAATAAAACTTGTGTAATCATACACTGGTAATTAGTTTAAAATGAATAAGTAATAAATGAAATATTCTTGTTGATTATATAGCAATGTTGTGTAAATCAGAATAATTTAATGAATTATCATAATTTAATCTTGGTAAGTGTTTTTGAGATTAAAACTATTTTTTTCTGTGATTATAGCATTTTATCTGAATAAATAAACCATTTGATTAAATATAATATTAAGATATGTTTATTTAAAAACTAATAATTAAATCTTTAATTTCAATGATACAAATCAATTTTAATCTTTATGATTAGATTCAGTGTTATCAGCCTATTATGTTTTAGCATTCATAAAGTTTATTTCACATAATTTTTATAATTATTTGAAAGTGTTTACTTTTTTGTAACATTAAATTGAATTAGTTGAATTATCTTTCAAATTAATTATAATTTAGAAAACTTATTAATCAATTAAAACTCATCAACTAATTAAATTCTGGCAAATATATAAATCTTAACTAGCATATTATCTAATAATATACATTTTCCTTTAATCAATTATTAAAGTAATTGATATTAACTACTTTCAAATGCAGAATGATTAAAAAAAATTTGATTTTTTTAGATTAACTGAAAGAGAATTATTATATGATAAAAAGATATTTTTGTTGGAGCAATATATCTAGGAGTACATTTATGTTATATATTTAAGATTAATTAGACCCATTTTGTTTATTTGCTCAAAACTTTATTAAGCATATTTATATAAAATATTAATTTATATTTATCTATTTTAATAATTTTCATTCTTCTTTATATTTCCTAATTTATATCTCTTTAGATGAATCATCCCAAGTAATTAAATACTCTCCATCATCACTCAATCTACCAAATAAAATATTAGTATAAAAGTGAATAGATTATTCAACTTTAAATTCATCTTTTTCTGTCTTTCTTATAAAATTGACATATTCACCATGTTTAATCACTAATATCTATTTTTGTTTAATAAATTATGATGGAAATAATTCATAATTATCATCATTATTTTAATTAACAATAATATCTTTTGTTTTAGTGAACTATTTACTTACACTATTCATCTCATAAACATACATCAAGTTTCCATTCCTTGGTTGAAATGCGAATAAATTATTGTTTATAAAGCTTAATCGATATCCAAAACAATCAACTTTTATATTTTATATTACAATCCACGTTTTACTTTATTCAGAATATTCAATTACTAATACTCTACCATCTAATCCACAAGAAATAACTTTATCCTCTTAATCATTTAAACTTAGTGAATAAACATTATCAATATGATCAGTGATTGTTTATTACCAAATCCATTCATTTTTTTAAATCCAAAACTTAATAGTTTTATCAAAACTACTAGTTATAAAAAGATCTTCATTATTATTTAAAATTAAGCAACTGATATAAGCACTATGTCCTTTAATTGTTTATGAGGAATTCCATTATGTATTGTTATTGCCAGACCAAATTACAATTGATCCAATAAGATCTCCAGATATCAATTCATTTGATTTTTACATGAAGTTTAAATTGTAGACACTATAAATAGATTAATAGAAGACTTGAATTTATTTCATGATTCCTTATTTGAATTCATATATTTTTATTTAATTCCAGCAACCAATTGCTACCATAGAGCAATCTTTATTAATTTCAATTACATGACACGATTGCTATTCCTAAATTGAATTATGTTTAATCATTTAATAAGTAAATGGTTTTAAATTAAATTAAGAAGATGGAGTTTTAATAATTTGTTGTATTTCTTTTTATTATGATGATTATTAAATCAATATACAGTCATTTTGTTAAAGTTATAATAATTCGAATTAAACTTGATCTTTGATTTTTTAATTAATTAATGGTTTCACTTCTTAAAGAATGTCTAATTAAAATTCATTTAAACCAATTAAATTGAATTGATCAAATTTTGGTGAAGATTATTCAAATTTAGGATTGTTAAAATTAGAAATTGGAGTATCTATGATGAATAGTTAATCAATTAAATTATTTATTTTATCAAAAGATGACTAAAATGATGAAAATCATAAATAAATACATCTAACTGTTTCTCTAATTCTATCATATGAGATTTTAACTCTTTATTTAACATTTCTGTTTTTGACATTATTTCTATTTCTTTTGAATTATTAATTAAATTTTTATTATTATTTAAAGAAAAAGATGATTTAAAATATTGTTCTTATGAAAAATCAACATCCTCATTAAGTTAAACATTAAATTAATATTTATTTGTATTTTATATATTTCTTTGATAACATGTTACACTTTAATTCTGAAAGAAAATTTAAATGAATTGATACAAAAACTGTTTTTGTATAAATTTTTTTCAAATTTTTAAAAGGTTAATAACAACCTGAGCCTTTACAATCTAGTTAAGATGCTATTTTTAATATATTCTAAATAATTTTCTATTTATTTTTATATCACAAAGTAAATGGTATAATAGTGATAATTATACTTTTTCCTCAAATCTTTTATTTAAAGTTTCATCCTTTATCTTGATTAATCATTTCTCCTATACTTCTCTTTCAATTCATCCTAATTCATATAGACATTGGGCACATTTATGGATAGTACTTAGTTCTGTTTTCTTTCAATACTAGTTTTTGCTAATGATTTTATCTTTAGTGTTCACATGATACAGAAAGAGACATTAAAGCTACTTTCTTACTAAATTTTTATTTAAATGAATTTTCAACTTTTAATAAAGATAGAAATAACATAACTCTAAGGATAGAAAAAAAATTTTAATTATCTTGAAAATTATTTTGTACCATGATCTACACAGAACGGGATTTTCAAGAATACCTAAACTTGAAAGGGATTCCAGCTATAGGGAACTCTGAAAACCCCTCAAAGCATGGCAAGAATGTATATGAGGTCTAGGTAATTTGAGATTTAGAGTGAGATGAGGGACAACCTCCTTAATTATTTTTCTGGTCTTATTAC